AGCCACTGGACAGGACTGTAGGTAAGGTCTCTGGCTCGCTGCAACAGTACAACAATCGTTTTCACTATCTTTAAGTCATTCAAAGCAGTAGAGACCGACAGGGAAAAGCAATCCTTGCCCAGATGATGAGACAGTGGCACGACACACAGGCTGGGAGCAAGCAGGAGTGAGACCATTTCACTAGCAATTCAACCCTTAAATTTGCGTAACATTCTCATCCTTGCCATTTTAATCCTTTATTTCTTCCCTTTTCGCACACACCTGCAAAGCTGAGTGTCCGTTGCTCAAAAAATAAGGAGAGAAGCTCTTCTAGCAAACTATTCAGTGCCATTAACTGGTCTAACGTCAGTGGACGTTGGGTTGTTCTCACAATGAACTTTGGTCAGTGCCAATGTTTTGAGCACCCAGGTGTAAGTGCTCTGGCAAAGGCAGAATCACCGGCACAACAAAAGCCACCGCTCAGCTCACAGACAGTTGTCATAGAGACAGAGCAGCATCCCGGGGTATTCTCATTTTAAATATGCACAGAAATCTTTTTTAACCTGTCTTCTTGTAGGCATCTGTCCTCGTGATTCATTTATAAACTGCTGAGGACAAAAAGAGAACCATTTATCAGCAGGTCTCCTCTAGGCAGGCTTGAGCTAAGGAGCTTTTCTGCAAACCTGATGTTTTTTGTTGAAAGCAAGTTTCTATCTGATTCTCTGGCTGGTGTTGCTAAAAGCTGTGGTTTGGGGAAGCGATCCAGCTTCAAAGTAACCTGGCCAGGAAAAAAAAGGGAAAGTTGCAGGCTGTGCTCACTTTGCTTTTTAAACCAGGTCAGATCCCTGCTCCAATTTATGGTGTGGGTGCACTGAGAGCTGTGAGAGGACAGCACAGGGGTGGCATTTCACGGTCCTGGCAGGAAGGAGGCCGGGGGGGAGGCGGGGGAAGACAATATTGTAAATATCTGAACGCTTTTTCTCAAAGCCACAGTGCAAGGCACTTCTTGCCTTTACATCTAAAAGCTGCAGCTCCAAATGAGAAGGAAAAGAAATACATTAATCTCTGTCCGTGCGGACAAAGTTTCATAAGCTCCTTAGTTGCTGAAGGTGCAAAGACTTTAAACCTCTAAAACCTAGTGCTCATGTGCCTTTTGGAGCTGGGAAGCTGGCAAGCAGCACAGGAAACCATACAAAAAAACCCAGAAGGGGCCTATGGGGACAGCAAGAGCCCACAGAGTGACAGATGTGTGTCTCTGGTTGCAAAGACGGTCCTCAGACCCGAGGTCCAGTGCAGCAGGATTCCCCTACAGACCTCCACAGAGGCGAGAAAGGAACTGGGGGGAAAGAAGAGTGGCAGGTACGAAGGTTGTGATGGCCAGAATGTAATACAAACTTACACAGCCCCGAAGAGACACATATATACTGACACTGAAGCCACAAATCCTTAGCTTTCAAGACCATGTGCTACCTCTGTAATTTGTTTCGAGGTCTCTGCGTGACCCAGATACGTAATTCCCACGTTATTAAAAAAATACATTCTTCATCTGTTGAGCTACAGAGATCCCTTCTTCTAAAATTACTGCTAAAAGATAAAATCATGGGCAAGCAGATGCCGCTCTCACACTAGGTCATAAAAATTCAGCAGCGCCACTCAAACAGGAACCGTTCCCCTCGCCACAGCACAACCAGCCTGACACTGCTGCGTCCTACAGGAACCCTCCTGTGTCGGACCAACCAGTATTTCTGCTATTATAAAGATACACCCATGAACAGCTTCGTTTGAGAGATGTTCTTAGTTTTGGGGAATGAATCCCAACTTATGCGGATGCCATGGGTGAGATTGGTATCATTCCAAAGGGGAAACTAAGGCCAGCAGGGAGGCCACCAGCCCAAGGCCACCACTGCAAAGCACGATGGGAGATTCTTCTCCCAGTGTTTTTCTTAACACCACCAGGAAGCACAAGAGCACGTCACACTGAAAAATGGCAGGGTGGAAATAAAAAAGGCATGACTTTCCATCAGGAGTGACCCCAAGGTAGAAACTCTCCAACATAAAGCAATGTATAGGAAAAGGGCTCACATCCCTTGGAAAAAAAATGCACAGGAGTCATCCATGCCCAGCCACCCCCTCCCTTAAGACTGTGGGATGATCATTTCCTTCACTCACATATTTATTTGGAATCTGATAATTCATTGCCCCTAGTTTCCTGCTGGAGTTTGTCTTCCATTGTTCAGGATTTACATTACTCAACAGGAAATCAGTGAGAGGCCGAGCGATTAGAAAGGTGTGTTTCCCATTCTGACCCACCCTTGCTTGCTCGCTTGGGACTGGAAGCCCGACCCAGCGCACAACTACGTCCATGGGAACTCAGGGAAGCAGGGGAGCAAAGGCAGAGGGACTCATCTCCCTCTGTGAAAAGCTACAGCTTGCTGTGTCCGGCCATACACCGCTGGCCACGGCCTCACACCCATCCCTCACACACTGTTCGTGCTCAGGCCCTACAGTAACCGCTCTCCACACGCTGAGGAGGGTGTAGTTTATCAAAATGTAACTACCAAGGCAGTACTTGAGGAGAGTAAGTATGGTGGAAGTGTCCCCTGAAGTAAAATATACTTCCTTCTCCAAGATCATTACTTGCACTCTGACACTCTTGGGAAGGGAGAGAGATTCCACATAGTAAAAAGCGCCACTGGTGAGATATAATTCAGTTTATCACAATGGTTTGGAACCAGGCTGAGCAGGAATCAGCCCTCTCTGGTGCCCTTTTAACACTGATCTCACAAATGATGCTCTGATATGTCCTCTTTAACGGCTCCTCTGGAACAGCACAGAGCAAAGCAAACACCGCTAATCTTTCAAGGGGTATCGCGGGAACAGGATGCTTCCCTGGCCAAATCCTCCCATTGCAAATGTCACAACTGTTTTAAAACATACTTTCCCTGAGGTTAGTTTGATAACAGGTACCCACCTCGGGCACATACGGTGACTGCTCAGCACTACACATCAGAAGGATATTGACCACTTGGAGCGAGTCCAGAGGAGGCCACGAAGATGCTCAGAGGGCTGGAGCCCCTCTGCCATGGGGACAGGCTGAGAGAGTTGGGCTTGTTCAGCCTGGAGAAGAGAAGGCTCCGGGGAGACCTTATAGCACCTTCCAGTACCTGAAGGGGCTACAAGGAAGCTGGGGGGGGCTTTTTACAAGGGCCTGTAGTGACAGAACAAGGGGTAATGGGTTTAAATTGAAAGTGGGGAGGTTTAGATTAGATATCAGGAAGAAATTCTTCCCAGAGAGGGTGATGAGGCACTGGAACAGGTTGCCCAGAGATGCTGTGGATACCCCATCCCTGGAAGTGTTCAAGGCCAGGCTGGATGAGGCTTGGAGCAACCTGGTCTAGTGGAAGGTGTCCCTGCCCATGGCAGGGGGGTTGGAACTGGATGGTCTTTAAGGTCCCTTCCAACCCAAACCATTCTGTGATACACTGTGTGACCCTCATAATGCAGCCACTGACCTTTCTGGGCCGCAGCTCCCAGTCACTGTGGTCTGTTCCAACCCAGACATCTCCAAGGCTTCCCAGTTAGCTCATCAAGTGCAAAGGTTGGGGATCTTCATGTTTCTCTAGCATCCAGAGTGTGCTTTGAAACAAAAGCCCAGCCTATTAGCCGTTGTACAACACACCTCAGAGGGAAACCTCTGTTCCAAAAGAGGTTTAAGCAAGGACTTCAAAGTGGGAGTTTGATTTCCAGAAATTATTGGAATAAAATTTTAAGAATGATTATTTCCTTTGATCAAGGAGGGACCTTGAAGAAAAGCCCTTGCTCCGAGCTCACTTATGTGTGTGCCCAACCAGTCCTGTAAGTCCCCCTACAACAGACGTAGGCAAGACAGCCTTAGACACCACAGCTCCTACACCAGAAAGTTTATCCTGAAGTACAACCCCCGTCTCTTTTACTGAAATTCAGGATACCGACGCTTCATCCTGTCCATCTTAGACAGGGGGAACAGAACATTGCCTCCTCCTCACAGCTGTGCCAGACTAACCCACGTGCTCGGTTGGGGAAGGTCGCAGATTACACACACTCATTGCTCTTTTGCTCTGCAATGATTTCTCTAAAATTAGACTTTCCTGCAACTGGAGACATCACCACAGTGCTGAGTAAAATGGAAGGGTTACAACATATCTCTTCCATACAATAGTCCTGTTTACACATCTCGGTATGCTAGCTTCTTTCTCAGCAATATCCTTATGTTGACTCATGCTCATTTGGCAAAATGAAACAATAGAGCTTCCTTACATTAAGAGATTATTTTGTCTCCTGCTCAGGAAGGCCACTGGGTTCTATCAATTACTGGAACCTCCTATCCACATAAACCGTCAGAAGCCACCTCAGAGCAGCTGAACCTCAAATACAAAAGTACTTTTGCTGTGATAGTCTAAAATATCTGGATTTACTTGTAAAATAGAAATGACACATACTGGTACAAAATTATTTAAATCACCCCAGACAGAAACCTCCTCACTAGCATTTCAGTCTCTGCAACACACCCAAGACTTCTAAGTATTAGCTTAGATAACATTTAGTCATTCTCCCTGCCCAGAGAACTGCTGGGAGAGCTGTGGAAAACGTGAGTATTGCAAGCGCAGAAAGAAATGTGGAGGATGAGCCTTTCACAGCGAAATGCGCACTAAGGATATCTGAACTGCTTGATAACGAACGACACCGTCATGATTTGTTTCACTGTGTCAGTTAGTTAACCCACTCCACCAGGGTTTTAGGATTTTGAAAAATGTTGGGAGATGGATCACTCCTTAAAAAACGTGAACTTTTTCCTTCTGATCCTACTTTCCTTAGTGCTTTTGACACAGTTTGATGCTGCTTTTAAGAAGGCATTGGCACACAAACCTGCCTTTCTATTCCAGCCTGACGTTCATGTTCTGAGTTTTTAGACTGACCATGAAAGCCTTAGGGAAACTGCTTCACTGGAGTGGGAACCCCTTAGAGGGGCTGGATTTACTCACCTGGTCTAAGCGCAGAGCCCCATCGATGAAGCGCTGTTTGCGGAGGTGCTGGGCGATTCGGTGCAGGTTCAGCACAGCTTGCTGGATCTCAGCTATTGAGTGTTGAGGGGAGACTGGGGGAAGTTCTTCAGGTGAGAACACCTTCCCGGGGCTTTCAATCATGCTCTGTGCATGGTCGTAGCTCAGCTTCACACAGGAGCAGATGACTGTCCGCCCAAACCATTCATCTAGGATCTGCAAAATTGGAAAGCATAAGTAGATCTGAGGACTTACTCTTCCAGTGCACAAAAGCTTGGGAAGCTGTACAAACACTGGAAGGAAAGACACCAGACCTCATCGCTGACCATGAACTTCAAGCGAAGATCTCATACAGAGGCCACCAGAAGGCCTTTTGCCCATACAGAGTCTCTAGTGCCTAATAATGTGTATATGCATAATGAAGTCTTCCCATCACATGGGAACTGCTTGGACCTCTCTCCTCTACCTGATTTCCCTCTTTCATAGAGCTCATAAGAGCTACAGCCCAGCTGGGAGCTGAAATCAGCCAGTTGACTCAAAAGTTACTGCATGCAGGGATAGGAACAGGCAGATACACACATGCAAAAAGGATCTCAATCTCTTTCATTAATACGTGGCCAGCAGGACATCAAGGGCTGGCCCCAAAATACTCTATTTCCAGGCGTGTGCTGGGGACTGCACTGCAGAGACCCCAGTGTCTGACGAGCACTTGTGACAATGTCCGAGTAGGGCTTTGGTGGATCTGGAGGAGAGACAGCCAGTCACTGACCCCATGCTTCTCTGATCATGCCGATCGTCCTAGGCCCAAACTTAAGCCAGGAACCTTTCTGAGCTCCCAAACTATAGATGAAAATAATCTATAAATAACCCGTAAAATTCTTTCATTTTAAAACAGAAGCCGCTCCCATTTTAAACTCCGGAACAGAACACCAATGTAGAAGTAGCAATTCAGAATTATTTCTTAAAGCTGAAAGGAAACTCTGTTTTCAGCTGGGATATGTAAGAGTCCAAAAGCTCATCAAGCCAATGAGAAAGCGCAGAGGGACAAAGGGCAGAAGCTCTTCAGAAAGGTGAAGAGCGTTGGCATGAGGGGAGACTGGCAGTAGAGATGGATGCAGCCTGTGATAAACCATTCAAACCACAAGTGCTCAGAGAACAAACAGAGAATTGCAATTCTGCCTCAGTTACAAGTGCCACCTTATCCCTCCATCAGCACAACAGGACAAGGTAAATTCTGCGAGTGATGGCATCCGGGGAAAACAGCTGGCTTTCTCTATGACACACTCACCAAGGACATTGCTTCAGAAAGGCAAACCCTCTTCCTAACAGGAAAGGATTGATGCCCAAGTACCTCTGCTGCCTCCCTCCCTTATGCCCCACAGAACATATGTGCAGTGTAACTCATCAGCTCAGAGCTCTGAAAGTCACAGGGCATTTAAGCTCATTGCTAATGAGAAAGTTTCCTAATAGTGGAGGTACAGCAACTGATGTCTTGCAACATAAGGCGCTCCGACCCCTGGCTCACGGTCATTCTGTCTGTGCCCCTTTCTCTCTGCCAAGCAGAAAGAAGGCAAGCGGGACAGAGATGCTGCGACAGTGCTGGCAGCACCTGCTCTGCACTCTGCTGCATCCCATTAAATGTGGTTCTTGTGGTGACGGGGGATCCATGTCCAGCAGGTCAGCGACATCTGATGAAGTCTGCTGGACCCATAAACCTCCTGACATGAAGCAAGCACGATCTCGGGTGTGGAAGAGGTTGCACTGCTCTTCATATGATCCACTTCCAGCAAGTTGAAGACTATTAGCTGGTTGGCAGTACTTCAGACTTCAGGAAGACACGGATGGTATTCAGGTACTTAAATACCACGGTCACTGCTGGGCTCGGCCTTGGCCAGAAGTGGGTCCGACTTGGAGCCCGGGAAGCTTCTAGCAGCTCCCAGGAGCCGCTGCTGTAGCCTACCCTTCTGCTACCAAAACCCCACCACACAAACCCAACACACGGCAGAGGGCTGGCTGGCACACGTCCCATGGCTGATGGACGGGCGAAGCAGCGCGGAGGAGCAACATTTAGGGGTTGTGAGCTGGGACTTGGAGATTACGAGTAGCCCACAAGAGCGAGGTCTCTGCCATCATGGCAAACCTGGTGCACCCAGACTCCAGGCAGAGTACCACTCCTAGGGTTACGTTAAGGCTTCTCCTAGCTCTTGTTGCTTTTGAGAAAAAGCCCCAGCACATCGCACGATGGCAGCCAGCGTGGCGCAGCTGAAACCCTCCCACAAGCACAGTCCCTGGTGGCACGGGGCGCTGTGAGGGTGTGCCATGGCCGCACAGGAGGCTGCAGACTTCCTCCACGCGAGGCGGTGTCCATATCCCGTCCTGACTGACGACAACAGTTTCATGTCTGGAAGACGCACTGTCTGTATAGGCTGTTTCAGACTGAAGCAATTTCTCGCCTCACTGGTAGAAGGAACCAGCAGGGCTGTGCTTCCAACACCAGCAGGCAGTAACTTACGGAGAAGAGTTGCATCGTTTGTTTTCAAATATCTTTCTGTTGACTGCATCCGAACAAGAACGTGCTACGTTGTTCCTATAAACGCCCAGCTCCGCTTCTGAAGAACAGCACAGATGCAACAATATGGTTAACGCCTCTGCCCTTGGAAAGTCCTCTCGGAGACATCGTCACGCTAGCTCCATGGACTCCAGTGGGATATGTGGAGTGCTGCTCAGGCAGCATTTTGTTATGCTCATGGAAAACTAGGAGATAAAAATTCCAGAGCCCAGAAGCAACAGAAACAAAAAGTGCCTATCTCCCAGAAAAGGCTGAGCCTGGCATTATTTTTCTAAAAGAAATAAGAATTAAAAAACCCCAACAACTTATCGATAGTCACATTCAAGTGAGGAATCTGCGTGGCTTTTCCTTGGAAGATGCTTTAGCTCCAGACCTACTTGCTCTGGAACAGTAACAGCGGGAGCTCAGAGCAGCTCTCACCTCTAGCAGCGCTGTCGGGCTCTGCTTTGCAAGCTCAAGGTTAGGACACTGCCGTGCTCCGCGTCCCTCGCCGAGGAATGTCCTGTCCTCAATGCCAGCGTTCTCACGGCTCTCCACCACGCGCTGAGGTTCAAAGGCTGTGCTGGGGCCTCTGACTCACCCCCCTTTCACCCAGCAGAGCTTGGGACAGCATGTGATGCTGTTTACACTGGGATGAGGCTATAGTAACACCTAGAAATACAGGAGGCGCAGTCCCAACTCACAGATAAGCTCTTACAAGAATGCCCCACTGGGCAAAAGCCCTACAACCACTTTTCCTCTTGGAAGGAGTAAATTCTTCCCCAGCCTTCACCTGATATTGAGTTCAAGTGACCTCGATTAAGACTGCCGTCCTGAAAGGCCTCCTAGGAGAAACCAGTTTGCTGAGATTGCCACGGGCAGCCTGCTTTCCAAGGGCAGCGTGGTCATGGCCCAGACCTCTGCTCCTCCAGAGACCAGCCCCTGTGCAGCCGTTGCTGCAGCTCCTCTGCTTTCTCACTGGCCAGACAGGGTTGGTCTGAACACAGTTTGAGGAGCAAATAATGTATATATTGCAGGGGACAAGAGACAAGATTTAATTAAAAGCTTATTTTAATTAAGACTTGACTATTAGCTGTTCAAAGACCCCTCAGAGTCAGTAGAAGGCCCACCACGTAGCTACTATTGGAAGGTCCCACGAGCAATCACGCTGTCGCTACAGGACGTGGAACGCTTTTCACAGGGAACCACCTCACTGCCAGAGCAGGGACTCGCTGCAGAAATACAGATACAGGACTGCAGCTCTGTTTTGCTAAAGCACAAACCAAGATCCAGTATCCTTTAGAGCAGCATGGACAATAATAAAGAAGTACGGTTAATCTTTGTGAAAAATTGCCGAATTGGCACAAGAAGTATTCTCCACAGACAGAGCTGTGCATGTGCACAACACTGGTTAAAAAAAATAATTTTGAGTACAAAAAGTGTACTTTGCATATATCGGAGAGTCCTCTGGGAGTGGCATCCTGTAGCCCTCCTCAATTAGCGAGGGGACCCTGTGACCACCAAAGAGGAGATCTCTAGGGTAGGAAGGGTGTGGGAGAGGAACAGGGAGAGAAATGAAGACCTGGGGAGAGCTGGCAGGAGCTGAAGGCAGTTTGCTGCACTGACAGAGAGCCTCCACAACCGCTCCCTGGAAATAACACATGCAGAGGATGGAGCTGTGCCTTTGCTGAAGAGCCATCACGCTTTATTTGGATCGATGCAATTTGCAGCTCTGAAGAAGAATGAAATAGTCTGTTTGCCAAGGAGGCCACAGAGGGATACTGCCCTCATCCACTGCATTGCACAACTGCCTGTGAGCACAGGCAGGGTTGGAGTCAGGGGAGAACATCTCGTCCCACCCAAAGCATTAGATTTGAATAGCTGATGGAGGTAAGACATTAAACGGATGGGTGACCTGGCAAGAAGCAAGAAATCCTCCGTTCCTGAGATTCCTCCTTTCCCCACCATGTTGTGAGATCCAGTTGGAAGATCCACAGTATCTCCTCAGTAAAATAAGATGCAGAGACAGTCCTACATCCTCCAGTAATGTTCACCGACAAGCCCTTTGCTATCCACCTGGGTGTTACGGGATGGCATTTTTACCACTCTGTTGGCAAGAGTAGGGGCTGGCCACCGAGGGAGGACTGATTAGCAGGATTGACTGCCTGCTCCTTGAGGTACCTTGCCTTCTGGAGTCATCTTCCACATCACAGAGAACGTCAGTCTATCTCGCATGGGATTGAGACTGCATAACTCCTCACAGAGCAGCTTGGGAAGCATCGGGATCACCTGGAAGAGAAGAGAGCTTTGGTGAGATAGGGGCTTTTACCAGAGACCTGTCTGTGGCCAAGCTTCCCTGACCAGGTGGTAAAAGAGAGGGTCAACAATGCACAAAAGCAGAAAATGCATTAAACCTTCAGGATCACATTCTCCATGGCAGGAGTGGCTATGTCATAGCTCTGGGATGCATCACCCATGGCAGAGCTACATCAGATGATGAACAATATGTCAGCACAGAGTAAGTAACCCAAATCCTCTGGAAGGAGAGGAAGTCAGGCACTGCTGAGGCCATCAACACTCCCATCAGCCCCATCTCTCAGTGAGACCAAAGGGAGCTGTCATTCTCCCACCTGGGAATCTTCCCCAGCGCTCCCCTCTGAGGTATGCAGTAAGCATCCTGGAGCACCCCGCACCCTCAGTTGTGCGAACACTTCACTCTGTAGCTCTCAAGGCCACAAACTTTGCTCTGTTTGCCACTTCTTTCCCACTTCCATTTTGACACTGGGAAGAATGAGGAAGGCTCAGCACGTCAGGAAATTTTGTTGAAGAAATAGAGTCAGGAGCTGAAGAACTTGGATTTGGGGAACTGTGTTTCCTGGTTTGCCACTGGAGACTGTGTAACCGAGCAAGTAGGTCTGCTCCTTGCAAAGCATAAATGAAACTTCTCCCAAGCAGCACAGGAGTGGTCGTGGCTTCAATAGAGAGTGAGCCACGCTTTGTGGCAGAGGCAGGAACGCGTACATGCTGGCGAGATAAACAAAAGCACCTATTTAGGACTATTGAACATGGTGTTTACAAACAGAGGGAGAATAATGACTATTTTACTAAACTCTGTTTGAACAAAATGTCAGCCAACAGAAATTTTTGGCAGGGATTTTTTAACCTGTGTCCTAATTCCTTACACCTAGTATCTGCTGCTGAACGCTGAATTACCAAACCACGAACTACTCACCTGACTACAGCAGCAAAGCAAAAGATTTGGAGCAAACCTGAGCAGCTCCAAGTGTTTCTACCATCCCTGAGTTATTTCCCAGGTGAAATCTGCAGTAAAGATCATATTTAGCAGGTATTTGACAAAGCAAACCTAATTATTAGAGTTTCACATTCTTTCTCATTATTTACCTTTGTGAAGAAGCAGTAACTGCCCTCAAAGAACCACCGCGTTCTTGTTTATTCTAGGTGGTGATGTGAGCTGGTACATCCCAGAAAATCCCAGAGAGAAACGATCTGCTTAGCTGCCATAAAATACGTTAGCTATTTAATTTAGTTTCCATCTTGATTGCTCTCCTGTGCCACCCTGTAAATATAGGGCACACAGCAAGTTGACCAGGATGCAAACCCCAGCTCTTCCAAACCCTGTGACACCAATTTGGTGATTTCAGAGATAAGATTTTTCTATCTGGGCAAAAGAGGAACAACTGTTCTTCAAAACACTAAGAAAAAAAAAAGTCTCAGGTGTCCATTTTCTCCTCAAGTGCACACACTTCATATTTACCTTTTGCTTTGAAGGAAAGACTTAAAATATTTAATCACATCTGTGGCTTGGCAGCAGGTGATGGCTATAAATCCATCCTAATTGCAGTGCCTATTAATGCCAAAAGGTTAAATGCACGGTCTCTGACCATCAAGGAGTCGCTTGCAGCATGAATCAGCAGCGCTGGTTCAGCTGGAAGGTCACGAGGGCACAGCTTACGATAAGCTGTTTCCCGCTACACAAAGGCCGTCAACTCTGTTATTCCAGTTGCGAATGGTACATTAACAATACCGGGAGGTTCATAACTCACACATACAGTACGTGAGCTCTGCCATGCTGCCTGGAAGGACCCCCAGCACAAGGTTAGAAAGTCAGAGTGAGCGGTGCCAACCCATACCAGAAAGGAGAGAAAACAGCGTTACCGACTACCGGAAATCCCTGCCCGTCTAAGAGCGCCCAAGACCACCGTGAGACCCTGAAGTTCAGGTCACAGTGAACGAAGTGCTACGAATTTAATAAACGCTCCCATGCCCTTTTCCACCCACATTAAAAGCTGCAGTTACCAGCTTTTCTCTCTCTCCCCTCTCTGTGATTAACTGATAATGTTCTCTACTTATTGATTTTTCCTGTGCCTTAGCGCATCCTCTTTCCTCTCTCCTCTCACATCTGAAGTCGTAACAGCCTGTTAGAAAAATGCCTGCATGAAACATGAAAGCCCATCCATGAAGAACAGCCCGAACAAAACAACAAGATGCTTGTTTTAAGTGTACTTGAGCAGGATTAATATCTGATCCAAGAGGTTATAATTCTACGGAAGGGCTTTCAATGATGTGAAACACAAGCAAAGCTTGAACTCAGATCATAATTGCAGCACTAAACCTTCACCAAGCAATTAGCTGTAACAAACCTACTGTTAAATAGGGAAGCAGCAACCTGCGTTCCCCTTGTTTTACAGGAGAGAAACTTAAGGCAAAGTAACTTAACCCAAGCCACGAGGAAGTCTCCCAGGAGAGCAAGAATCCAAATCAACCTTTTTCCAGCAAATACGTAACATAAGACAATGTGACCTTGCACAGAAGGTATTGCAGTTTTATCTACCTTACTGAATTAAAAGAAGAAACCCGTTTTCAACACCGCAACCGTCCTGGCTAACCGCCTCCCTCGGCTTTAACACCACCGCTCCCCTTCACAGCCCATACGGAAACTAAACCAACGGTTACGAGCACAGAAGATTAAATTCGAAATGCACATTTCCTTTCTCCTTAAGGATAAATAGGGCCACAGACTGAAAGGATTCTTAGGAGTTGTGAGCCCAGCATTTACCATACCCAGATGTCACAGCTGGGTCACACTTGGAGAGCGAGACATTTCAGGAGTTATCCCAGGGGCTGCCCAGGAGGAACTGTGGCAATAGGATTATCTCCTTCTCTTTCCGAAGGAGACACAGGATGAGAGGAGATTTCCCCAAGTACGTCTTTAATGCCCAAATTTGCAAAACATCAGGGTTGCGTAGCACGGCCTCAAATAATCCAGAGGTTGCCCCGGCATCTTTTAACGGCTTTGCCCTTCCCGTGACTGTCTGCCAAGAGACAGCAGCGTCTGCCAGCTGCCCCACGCAGTGCCAGGGCACGCAGGAATCCAGCTAGCTGAAACACTGCCGAGGGATATCACCTCCAGCCTGAAGTGGTTTCCTTAGTAAATTGCTGAGGATGTGCCTACGCTGGGGATCACATCATTCGGTTTGATTTTACTGCAGGTGGAAATAAAGTCACCTGGGCTTATACATGGAAAGCTGGAACAGGGAGGTCTGTTAACGTAGCTGAATCCAGAAATGCGGTTGGAGGATACAACAGGGCTAGGGAAAAAAAAATTTCACAATGAAAAACAGGACCTACGGCCCCCAGGAAATCTTTTCTAATGAATGTATCATAGAAACCAGGGCTGCAGGAAGGCTTGGTTGATGACAGCTAGTCTGGTCGTCAACCCTCTCTATCAGTCAACCAACACAAGACACCACCTCTCCCCACAAGCCCGGCAGGGCCCAAGAAATCCTGGAAAGGGCACTTACTTGAGTGAAAGGCTGGTATCCACAACGCTTGCAGCTGTGGGTCTGCATTTCAAATCAAATTACAGACGGAGGATTTCTCCCTCCCTATTTCCAAGTCCTACATGCAAAATCTCCAGTGCTACCATACGTGGCTGCAGCCCTGCCCTGACAGCCCCCCTCCACGCTATCGGCTCTCCCCGCAGGCAGCCACACATCCCAGCACGCTGAAGCAGTGGGCAGCAAGGGAAAACCAAAGAGAAGCTACCGCCGGGGTTGGGGGCTTTCCTACTCGTCGTTATCCTGGGGTTATAAAACACAGGGACCTATAACCATGGCCAGCCGCACTGCTTAGCAGCTGGCTCCTCCGCAGGGTGGAACCGCCTTGGACATGGGGAGATCTAACCCTCCTGCTTGTGAGAGCCCTTGGGTTGGTTCTGTTTTGCCTCTTCGGCTAATAAAGTGCTTCCAGAAACCAAATGCAAGTTTCCAGCCTCAGACTCATTCCTAGGGAGCCGGGCAGTGGGAGGGAGCACACGTATACTGGGATGATAAAACTCCCCGTTCCCTTTAAAATCAGAAGCGTCTGCAGCCAGGACTGACTCATGACCCAGGTTCCGAGCAGGTTAGCCAGGACAGCTCTCATCAATGGACTCGCTGTAGCGGCTTTTCAAGGAATGGATGGGCAAAATCAGTCAACCACAGGGAACAAGGAACAAACTCCGGTTAAGAAAACCCCCGTATTTTCACAGAGTCACACGGACAGCTTTGCTCCCATCAAACAACCCCATTCTGCCAGCACCCTGCTTTGACAGCCTGCTCAGGCTTGGCTCAGTGGGTTATGACCACCCTCCCTCCTGACTCCCGGGGTGACCCCTTCTCCCACCACTGGTCCAATGAGGAGGGACTGTATTAACCCAGAGTTTCCATCAGCTGCTCTCCCCAGAGCTGGGAGGAGGACGCCAAGGTCCAACAATGGGGTGGGCTCAGCAAGGCTCTTGATTACACACTGAAAGACACTGAAAGGAAATAGGCAATTTGTTTATGAGCCAAGATTTCTGCTCAAGACTTGTATCAACACTTCCATGAATTCAGATTTTGTGCAACTCTTTGTTACTCAGCCTGAGATTATCAAAATATCAACACCCCGACAACCTGCTGGTGTCAAAAGTGAATGCCTCGAAGCCCTTGGACTCAATGTGAAGATAGGCTTACAGTTCCGATCTTTGATCTCCAGAAAAAAATAGGACCAATAAAATATTATAGGGATTTATGGCTGACCTCTCACTCGAGCTGCTTCACACCTAAAATAACACTGCAAGATGTGCCAAAAAAGAGGAAACTGTTAAGGTTTTCTTGCTTCTTAAAACCCGATACACTCCTATTTCAAAAACTTTTGATTTTTATTAAGTAGACCACTAGCAATTACACAATAACTCCCCTTCTGGATACATGGTTCAGGAAAATTAAATATGTGGCTTTATTTAACTTCTTTGGGAGGATTAGCATGGTGCTAACCTCTAGCAGAATCACAGCTGTCTTAGGAAACAGTTCCATCAAAGGAAAGCATATTTTCTACAGGAGTCATGCTACCTTCTTGTTTCAGACAGCCTGGCTGTTTTCCTTTGCTCATCCCCTCTCCCCTTTTCATCTCCTGCAATTAAAATACTGACTGTTTCACAATCTAACCTAGTTTGCACTCCTAAAGTATATTTTCTGCGGGGTAGAAGCGTGAGTAAAACACTGCTCCAGACTGCTGGGCCAAGGTAGTTGAAGAGCAATTGAAGATTAGGGGCAATAGGTAACTCACCTTGGCATCGCACGTGACTGTCTGATAGTGCTGGAGGGGAAAAGTGCTTCGAAGGAATATTCAATTAGGTTTTGAATAATACTAGATTTTAATGAAAAATGTCTTCTTTCTACATAAAAAACTTCCTTCTTCCTTTACAAAAATCACATGCCATGTGGTTTGACAAACCACAGTATTTTGACTTGGAACTACTGCCACAACATCTTCCTGCACTCCTGCTTTGCTGCCCTGCAGGGACATCCCCCCCGAGCCAGCCCACGTCTCCCGTAGCGAGCTGCGGCCGTTGAGTCAGCCCGCAGAGGTGGAAGCAGCGCACCGCAGAAGCCAAGGGCTTATCACTGCAGAGCCTGTAAGACTGGCAAGACTCCGGGGCCAGAACTGCTGTTTCCATGAGAGACGCGTCGCTCCCCACTCCTGGAGAATGGCAAGTCACTGGTAAACAGTGTCTTCCAGCATGGACACTCCGTGATCCTGCGCGGCAGCGCGTGTGTGCTGTGGGACTTGCTACGATCGGCCCAGCTTGGGCACTGCTGCATCGCTATCGGGGCTATTCCCCGCAACACGTACCCACAGAGACCCTAAAACCCATACTGACCCTGTGCCTTACTGTTTCTACCCAAGGGAAGTTACGGATCAGTTACTAAAGGTTAGCAGCTTGATATTAAACTACTCATTTGATGTCAGTAGTGTAAAATAAATCATTTTATCGTCTGGAAGGTGTGGAGAGGACACGGTAAACTCCTGGAACAAGTATCATTACAAGACCATCCCTGGATTGCAACTCTGAGAACATCCAGGAAGGGAGGGGAAGAATCACTCCTAGTCCTAAGTAGCAAGTAGGATATGTTTATTTATTATACAAAGATGAAAAGATGCCCTGTCATCCCGGAAAGGGCTGCGGAGGCAAGAACTTCGACAGCCTGGCTGAATGGGGGTGGGGGGGAGGCAGAAGAGGCTGCTCCCCTGAGGCTGCCTGAACACTCCTCCTCACGCGGCTGATGTCTCGAGCCGGCCCAGGAGCTAACAGCCAAGCTTCCCGGCTTCCCTGCACGCATGGTGCTGGCCGTGTCTGATGAGCTAGGAATTGTTTCTGCACATTCAACTGAAAACGAGGCAGGCGCAGACAAAACCCGGATGTTCCCTTCCCAACAATGTTCAACCTGAACCTGTTCGTTCCTCAAGGTTGGAAGTCAGCTTTAAACTTGAGTTGAACATCTGATGCTGTCACACTAAGATCTGTGCAACTTCAAGTATCTTTCCACTGTAGGATGAAAAGACGTCATTGCTGCAGGATTTGGTACACCCAGATAGAAGAAAAGACTGTGAAATACTGTTGTACCTCAAAGTGTGAGGTTGCGTGGGATGTTTTACACCCTGCAACGCAACCCCTTCTGGGAGGGATTAGCTAGTACTAGTGCACTGAAAAGCAAGACAAAACTCTCCCCACATCCCACATCCCCTGCCAATTTCAAGGTCCCAGCAGCAAAGCAGATGAGCCAGCTTGGGTCTGTCAGGCTTATTTATCTCAGGTCGGGATGGTACAAACGTAGCTACACAGCTCTGGGCCCTGAACTAGCTCCGGATCAGCAGAGTCCCGTTCACACGGAGCTGCTCCTGAGCTGGCAAGCCCTGGCACACCCAGGTCCCTGCCCACAGACACAGGATCACAAACTGCTGCTTCACTCCATGCTCTCTCCTTAAGATCCGAGTAGGCAGCAGCAACATTAGCTCTTGTGTTAATCTACTCATTTTTGTAGGTTTGCTGAAACAGCAGGCAGATTTTGATTGCAGACATCTGAAAATGAACCTTTACAATGCATTTATGGCAAACGGAAGGCACAGCTGTCAGACGAAGCAAGGAGCAGTCCTTACCTTTTGCACTAGATAGACACTGGTTGCTCTTTCACTCGCTACTTGATCCAGGGCTGTTTCTTCCAGTACGAAGTAGCTCACATCCGCGATATGAACACCCACTTCGAAGTTCCCTGAAATCACACAAGGAAGTCAGCAGGCTGCGGGTAGCAAGGAACATATTTAACTCTGTCCCCTCTCCCAGTGCTACCGTAACCTTTTTGCCCTATGCCTAGATCTCACAAAAATGATGCTCTTTCCAGCTGAAAAGATGAGATGAGGTGAGATCTGAGAGGTTCCATCTGAGATGAGAACCGTGGTCTCTCAGGACACTACCAAATTCACAGCCACCTTGGCTACCACACATGAGCGGACACACGTACGAGCACAGCGGTGGATGTGTGAAAACCCTTAAAAACCATGTGGATAAGTCTTTCCAATGAGGAGCTTGTAATATTGAGCCCAATCCCTGACCCTCTGCTGTCAGACAACAGGAAGCAAGAAATACGGGACCCCACCTTACGCCCGCACAGACAATGCAGGACACCAATTCCCAGGTATGGAGCAGCCGTACACGTGCTTTTGGGTTCCCAGAGCTGCACTTGTTTCCACTTCACCCTGACTGAGCCCAAATTGCTTCTGGTGACCTGGGAAGTCTTCCACAACTTTGGATCGGGCTATGCAGAAGCTCAGGTTTCCACAGGCAGAATATTCCCACTGTTATCCTGCCTTTCCTTCGGATCAGGCTTTTTACCCTTTAATTAGAGTCTAGTCTAGGAGTATCTTAATTCAAAAGTTAGGCTAGTGAGGAGTACTACTGAAGTTTATAATGAGGTTTTGGCAATAATTTGGATTTGGAAGTAGTGATCATCCTCAGCTTTGGAAGTAATTACTACCTTGGTCCAAGAAATTCTGGTTTGCTAATCCTCAAAGAAGCCGATTGACCTTTGTTTTCTCTGGAAGGACTAGGCTAGATTTGAGGCGCTTATTTGTAGAAGAGTTCTAAGTGCAGCGGGTTCCTAATTATAACATTTGGTTCTTTAGAGGAATTCACTAACTTCTTTGTATCTATAAATAGTTTTTGTTTCCTTAATTCTTTTTAAAAGACAACGTAATAAGATACCACGCTGGTGACAATCCTGTCTTTTTATACGCCTTGCAAAGAATATAATCAACTCCTTTCTCCAGAGCGTCACGTTCTGAAAGGATAAATGGCTCACAGCCGCCGCCACGGCGCAGTAGCCCTTCTGGTGGGTACCAGTGCTCGATTTCGGCAGAGCGGGAATGGAGAGGTACACAGCCGAAGGTTCAACCTCAGGTTAGGAGAGCCACCCAGCCCACTGTACCCCCAGATGTGGGCTCAGAGAAGCGAACCCCAACCCACCCCATGCAACTGGTAGAATTTGTAATAATTCTAACTCGATTAAGCCGCAGCACTTTGAGTGAGTAAAGCGTTATCTTGATTTTGTGCACTGGACAGAGCACAGACGTCACGGCAGCAGAAACGCGCGTGGAAGACAGGACTGCCAGGGTTTAGATTTGTCCACATAACCTATGCTCACTGGAAGGTCCTGCAGAGAGTAAACACCATGGCAGCAGGGGGAAAGGGCAATAATCCCATCGCACACCAAGGGACAAATTCCAGAGCTCGTTAGGAAGCTGGGAGAAAAGGCTGCAGATTAAATGGTTCACCTCGGAAAGCTGCCTACAGCTGTGTTGTGATATTATCACATGCCTTGAAAGCTGCCCTACATGGATTAGGCATCCAAGCCTGAAACTACTTAGACAGTAAGTCTTAGACCAACAGTCCAACCAACAGGTTTAATATTACATGCGCTCAAAGCCAACATACTCAAGAGGTAAAAAAATATTGAATACTTTGAAGTCAATATTGTAATGTATTGACCCTGCAGGAAAATATTGACGAAAGGAAAAGGAGAGAGGGTCATTACATCATGCCTTTAATCGTACTTTAATTCAATATGTGCACTGTTACATACATGAACTTTTTGTCCTTGGTAGAAAATCGACAAACCAAGAAAGATCTCATTGCATGAGATAATAAAACATGGAGCCAGCCAACGAAAACACACTGAGCAGAGTTAAATTTCATTCAGGTTTCCCACCAGAGTTTCTAAAAGCTGGGGTCAGTGTGAGCCTCCTGCTTTTGAACTTTTAATGGAAATTCTATCTAAATATTTTCTTACATACATTGACATAATGCAAACTGGCAGCTCTTGGGTTTGTCTTGCTCAAGTATGAATCACCCTATCTCCCTCACCCCCAAAAAATTTAGACCAAGAGAACTTGAAGATACAGCACAGCAATCAACCAATCTGACTTCTCGCAAATCACTGCTGCTGAAATGTGTCAGACAAAATACCAGCCTAAGCCTGCACAGAAATACCTGCCTACTGCTCTCTCCTGGTTTATTTGCTAATTAAGATGAAAGAACTTTATGGATAGAAAAATACTATTCACTAGTATTCTCTTCCAGGTCCACAGTCTCATTCACTCTTATGACAAAGTCACAAAAGGAACATTTTACATTGTAAGTCTTGTGTTACTTCCCAAGGAAAAAAAGAAAACGTTGCCTGAATGAAAGGCAAAGAGAGTTAAACTGGCACTCATCTATTGAAAAAGTCTTGGCAGACAGAGCAAATGGGGAAAGGGTGGACACCACATGGACCACACACCACAGTCTGCTACACGTGGTCTACTCCAACTTCATTTTGATGAACAAATCTACTTTTCCAGCAAAGAGAGGCTTCAAATCTTGGCATGCAGCTCTCCATCGTGACAGACTCTATACTCTAAATATCTTACAGAAACAAGTACTTTACAAACACAGACTTTCTTCACCCCAAATTTAAAATTCTCCTACAGTGAAGCTAAAGCTGCACAACAACCCCTTAAGCTAGGTACACACTACCAGTTAAAGGGTTTGTTTTTAAAAGGAATTTAAATAAGAATGTACAGGAGATTAAGCCAGATGCTTCATATGCTGATAATAAAGCAAGAGCTGAGGGGAGCATCCACTGCAATGAAAAATGCTGAAGGCACTTGGATCGTTTCTTTCGCTCAGGATCTCTGGGATTTTCTTCTTTTAAAATAATTTCAACTGAAAGTGGGTGAAAAATTTTGTCATCCCATTCGAACGCTACCACTACAAAGCTGCTACATGGGAGATGTTTAGCAACAGGGAATGCAGTTTAGAATGAGCAACGCATGTTTTATTAATCAGCTGTACCCTATTAGTTCCTCTGCAAATATAAAGACACGGCAACAGAGATGGATGGGAGACAGGAGAGTTATTTGAAATCACACCATAGCATTGCAAAACCCACTAATGAGGCCCTTTGCAAAGAGGAGCTCTCCTCCCCAGGTCTGCAAGCAGGAGCAGGGAAAGGGCTGGGCACTCAGCCACTAAAGATTCTCTTGGGCCAATGCTCTGTGCAAAAGGGATGCAGTCTGTTGCCACCTTACTGCAAACAGTTCTGATGCCCTCGCAGCACTGCACGTGAAGAAGACAATTTCCCTTTGTCTTTACCATCACACAGGTTGCTAGAATAGCAGAATGTAATGGACATCTATTTCTCCAGCTTTCTGGAATCACAGAATGGTTTGGGTTGGAAGGGACCTTAAAGACCATC